AAGCACCACGTGCTTGGTACGAACGCTTGAGTAAATTTCTTTTGGATAGTGGTTTCCAAAGGGGAAAGGTAGACACCACACTTTTCATCAAGAGTAAAAACAATAACATCCTTTTGGTTCAAGTTTATGTAGACGACATTATATTCGGTGCTACTAACGAGTCTTTGTGCAAGGAATTCTCAACGCTAATGACTAGCGAATTTGAAATGTCAATGATGGGCGAGCTCACATTCTTTTTGGGACTCCAATTTAAGCAAATAAAAGACGGCACGTTCATTTGTCAAACTAAATACTGCAAGGAGCTCCTAAAACGGTTTGAAATGGACAGCACCAAAGCCATGGCGACCCCGATGAGCACGTCTGATCATCTTGACAAAGACGAAAAAGGTAAGGAAGTAGAAGTAAAAAAGTATCGAGGTATGATCGGATCCCTTCTTTATCTTACTGCTAGTAGGCCGGATATCATGTTTAGCGTATGCCTTTGCGCGAGGTATCAATCGTGTCCAAAGGAATCGCACTTAACCGCGGTGAAACGGATCATGAAATACCTTGTCGGCACGGTTAACGTTGGACTGTGGTATCCAAAAGGCTCTTCTTGTCATCTCGTTGGTTATTCCGACTCGGACTTTGCCGGTTGCAAATTAGACCGTAAAAGTACAAGTGGGACTTGCCACTTACTTGGTAGCTCTTTAGTTTAATGGTTTAGTAAGAAACAAGTCAGTGTTGCGTTATCCACAACCGAAGCGGAATACGTTGCCGCCGGTAGTTGTTGTGCTCAAATCCTTTGGATGAAGCAACAACTCGTGGATTATGGCCTTAGTATCAGTCACGTTCCACTCCGTTGTGATAATACTAGCACCATAAGCTTGACAAAGAACCCCGTTCTTCATTCAAGGACGAAACACATTGACATTAGGCACCATTTCATTAGAGATCATGTTCTCAAAGGTGATGTCGAAATTGAGTTTGTTGAAACACACAACCAATTAGCCGACATTTTCACAAAACCTTTAGAGAAAGAATCGTTCTTCCGCATTCGTAGTGAACTCGGAATCCTTGACTCCACGATGATCTAATTTGTGCATTTTATCACTTCTTTTTATTTGCTTGACCGTTTATTAACTTGAGCGTCGGAGGGTTTTCTAACTCTTTTTTGCAGGAACGGTTCGAAGTGAAGAATTCTGGAAATCAGGGGAACCAGCGATGGGTGCGTTATACCATCGCTGGGAGGGAAGTCTTCACTTTTCCAGGACCCCTCTTCCCATCGATGGGTGCTTCTCCCCATCGATGGGTAATTGACTCTCTTTTTTTAAAACTTTTAACGGATTTCCAGAAATACCTTACCCATCGATGGGTATTTCATCCCATCGCTGGGTGAATGTTTTTAATTTCAAAAAGTTTCTCCAGAACCTCCCTACCCATCGATAGGAACTTTCTCCCATCGCTGGGTGTTTGACACTTTTTTTTTTTTTAAAAAAAAAATTAATCGGATTCCCAAAATCACCAACCCAGCGATGGGATGGTATTAACATCGCTGGGAAGGCTTTCGTCTTTTATCCTTCACTTTCCAGAACCCACCTTCCCATCAATGGGAGAATCCACACATCGCTGGGAAGGCAGTCTGATTTTCTCCTTCGCTTTCCAGTAGCGACCTTCCCATCGATGGGTAGATCCTACCATCGCTGGGAAGGCGGTTGAAGTTCAAAATTTCAGAACCGTTGGAGACAGCATTAATGGCCCAACAACTCTTTTTTCAAAATTCAAACGAGATTTCCTCCTCTCCCTATATATTCCCTTCACCCTTAACCTTTTTAAACACACTTTTATCTTCTCAAATTGCCTTGCTTAAGTCTTTTCTACTAAACTCTTTAATTTTTTTTTTTTTAAAAACACCCCACAACCATGGCTGGAGGAAAGAAGACAAAAGCTTCGAAGAAGAAGGTCACCACCGAGGCTACGAGCTCTGCGCCTCAACCGTTCCCCTACCTGGACGGATCGTTTCTTGAGTTCGGGTCAAAGGAGGAACTCAACCGGTTCCTCACGCACTTTGCCAAGCGTCCCATTTCTCCGCCTAGGGTGCTGCCCGAGTTGTACCCTCAACAAAAGGGGTACCACGACCTCGACAATCAGCTTCAAGCATCGGGTCTGTGGTCGTTCGTCTCCAGGAGCCGCTCGAGCTTCAATCCCGCCTTTGTGCAAGCCTTCTACTCCAATCTCCGCCGTGACGGGGACACCATTCGCAGCAGCATCAATCTCTACGACATAGAGATTGATTTGCCTACCTTTGCTCGGGTCGCAGGGCTGCCCATCCGCGGTGACAACATCGCAACCTATGGTGGCGACGATTGGATCCTCAACAACGAGGCGGTCGTCATTCGTGAGCTTGGGATCACCAACTTGATCCGCCACAGCGGCGCACCGGCGATTCACTCGGCCCCACCGGACAAGCGCATCCTCCTCTACATCATCACCCGGATTCTCCGCCCCCGGGACAGCAGCCATACCTCGCTCTTCAACGAGGACTTGAAGGCGATTCATGCCATCATCCACGGCGCCTCCATCAATTGGGTGAAATTCGTGATGATCCACATGGCTGATTGCGCCTCCATCGCCACTGAGCGGAGCTTGCCATACGCCTTCCTCGTCATGGACCTCATCATCTCCGCCGACATCTCCATCGCAGGCCCGGATACGAAGATGACAAAGATTTGGATAATCCAAGACAGCACCTTCCGGAAAAAGTCCGGAGACCGGGACGACGCAGGCCCGAGTCGTGCACCAGCCCCCGCTCCTGCCAAGGCCTCTTTGCAATCCATAGCCGATACTCTGAATCGGCTAACCCTCACAGTGGATGGCATAGGGCAGTCAATCGAGCAGATCGACTGGACGCTGCAACGCCAACACCACGACATGACGGCGTTCTTCCGCGGCATCAACTACGTCCCGCCGCCTTTTGACAGCACCTTCCTCGGCCAAAACTATGAAGGCGAGGACGAGGAGGATAACTCCTATGCTCCATCCTCCTCCCCCGACGAGGCTGACTTTGAAGATGCGGTCGACGGCGATCCCATGGACGTCGAGGACGACGAGGATGACGACGAGGACGCCGATGCTTAGACTTCTCTTTTCTCTTCTTCCTATGATTGTATCTCTTATTTTTTCTTCCATTCCGTTGTATTCTGCATTTCCCTTTTTCATGAATAAAAGTTTACTTTTACAATTCTAAAGTTTACTTTTAATTCTTTTTGTTAATGTCAAAAGGGGGAAGATATTAAGGTTATGCATAAATTAAGGGGGAATTTTTTTTCTATTAAGGGGGAACATCCTTTTCAAAATAATCCTCCTATGCATAACCTCGTCTCGTTTGCCATTATCAAAAAGGGGGAAATTGTTGAAACACGGGCTTGTCACGTTTTCGTACTAAAGCCGTGTTCGTTTTTGTAACAGGTTTTGATAATGCCAAACCGCCGTGATCAAGTCAAACATTGAATATACAAGGCGAAGAACGAAGATAAGAGCAAGAGCTAAACGAAGACCAAGAACGAAGACCTTAATCATAGTATTGAGTCGGTCTTTATTGTGATCAAGACCGACCCAATCTTTACACTTTGGCTCTTTAGGCTAAAAACTCTCATTGCATTTCTTACATCATAAAAATGGTTTTAAACTTGTTTAAGTCATTAAAAACACTTGGTGTTCGCCCAAACCAAAAACCAAGCCATCCAGTGTTCGGCTTTCAGAAACCAGCGTTCGGCTTTCGGTTGTCGGGTTTGGTTTTTGGCATCCGAACCAACCAAGTGGTTTTCAGCATTTTATGATCT